AAAAATGAAATAATCCCTATTCTCAAGAAGCTTATATTGTCAAGGGAAACAGCACATATCTCTGTAATTTTATAGAGATAGGACCTGTGATTTTATTGGTATATGGGTTAGGAAGCTCCTTCTCCCAATGCAGATAGGTCATCACTTCTACAACTTACATTCTTGAGCCCTAAGAATTTAAATGCCTTGCCCAGAGTCACACAGTCAATCTCTGTTAGAGAGTGGAACTTGAACCCAGCCAAGTCTTGCTGGTTTCAAAACCCATTCCCTATTATGTCATATTGTCTTCTCCGCATATACAAAATATTCAGAATGTAATGTATGTTTATAATAAAGAAAATAAATTCAAAATTATTATTATTAATAACAATAATAATAAAGTAGTAAGGGAGGGCACTAGCAATTGTGAGAATCAAAAAAAAACTTTCACATAAAAGGAGGCACTTAAGCTGAGTCTTGAAAAAAGTGAGAAGTTCTATGAAGCAGAGTTGAAGAGGGAGTAGAAATACAGAGGCATGGCAGGGGGGGAACAGAGTTCATAGTTTGTCCTATCAAGTCCTATCAAATTCACCAGTTTGAGATTGTTGCAATAATCTAGGTCGTGAGAGTGTGTGAATTAAAGGTGTAGCTATGTGAGTAAAGAGAAGGGGGGAGGCAGGTTTCAAATGAGTAAGGTTGTAGAAACAGCACCGTTTGGCAACTGATTGAATATGTGAAATGAGGAATCATTTCAAACAAGAGAAACTTAGAAGAACGGTCAGTGCCTTCGACAGAAATAGGGAAGTTCAGGAGAGGCATGAATTGGTGGGCAGAAAGATACTGAGTTCCATACTACATGGAACCTCTCTCTGTCACTGACCTCTCTGGGTACATGTCTGTTACTTTGCTTTTTGATCCAGTCCAGTTAAGAATCTGAGACAAAAAATAACTTGTCTTTTCCCACTACAAAAAGAATAATGCTTATTGTGAGACCTGCAGAATTGCCCTGAACAAGTGTGACACTGAGCAAGTTACGGAGCCTCCTGATCCTTCAGTTTCCTCATGTGTATGGGGGTTAGGGGTTGGGGTATGGGGGGACGAGAGGTATGTGAACTAGATTGGTCTATGAGGTCTCTCTGATCCTTCTATTAGAATGGCTTTTGGATTCAACACAATATTAAGTGTCACTATTATAAAATGTTTATTAAGCTTCAGTAAAAACTTCTATATAATAGTCTTTCCTTGACTAATGATAATTCTTATATCTAATCAACAAAAAATCAGAGTTGTATATTCACAAGTTTATAGAGAAAAAGTAAAATTGAAATTAAGACCTGAGTTCCCATCTCCCTTCTGACATATTCTAGCTGTGTAAGCTTGAGCAAGTCAATTACTACACCCTCAATACCCCCAGACAACCCTCTATGATTAGATAAGTTACAGGGCAGTTGCCTATTTGCATTGGTAAATAAAACTTTCTCACCAAAAGTTCCCCTCTCTCATGAAATCATAGGTTCAGACCAATAATTTTTTTTCTTTCCTCATGAAAAATCCTTTATTTGAGGCAAAAAGAGTGAGAAAGGCAAAGGCAGCTTGGAAACTGCATTGAATGTGGGCCAGAAGGACTGAGACCTAAGCCCAGCTCTGCTACTCTACTATGCTGGTGACCTTGGATCAAGTCATCTCTCCACCATGGGACCTCAGTTTTCTCATTTGTGAGAGGAAGTGATTGGATTTAAGTGATTACAATGGTCCCTTCTAGAGGCAAACTGATTATTCTACAGAATAATTCAGAAAAACATTTTGATATTTGTTTATCACATGAATGAAAGAGGGTAAAGACAATGTAAGCAGACCAACATTAGAAGGCTATTTTAATACTCCAGCAAGGGGCATTAAGGGCCTGAGCTAAAGTAGCAGCCATTTGAATAGAGAGGTAACGAACGAAAAAGATGTTATATAGATAGGGTCAGCAAGATTTGGTAATATAGAAGTAAGAAACACTAAAAGCTGGTTATTTGAAAAGACCAACAAAATGTATAAATCTTAGCCAACTCGACTAAGAAAGAGGAGGAACAATGAACAAGGGGAAATCATAAGAGAGGAAATTAAAATTATCAAAATCAACTATGCAACTAGTTATATGCCAACAAAATAGAGAATTCAAAAAAAAGAATACTGTCTACAAAAATATTAAATACCCAAATTAACAGATCAAATAGAAAATAAAACTGAACTAGGCGTAAATGAACCACTAAGGGAAAAAAAAACCTGATATTTACAGAAGAATACTATAAACTTTAATACCTATACTACAGACATTCTTTTTTTTATTTTATTTTTTAGTTCCAGATTCTCTCCCTGCCCACACCCACTGAAGGCAAGAAACACAAAACTCATTACAATTATGAAGTCATGCAAAAGAAAACATTATTCTCAAAAATTGAGAAAGAAAGCAATCTACAAAACTCACAAAGGAAATTATAGCCCTAAGGAAAATGTAGAATATGGAAATGAATATTGATACAAAAACTTTTTAAAAATCTTATCCAAAAATGATTATAAAAATTTATTCCAAAAAATCATTCATTATGATCAGGGTAGATTTATACCAGGGAATCAAGAGTGGCTCAATGTTACAAAAACAATTATAATAATAACAGCAAAAACAATGAAAACTGCATAATTATATCAGTAACTCATTTATGGTTTTAAAAAAAACCTACAAAATACAGGTGCAAGAGGATTTTTTTTTAACATGTGAAAAGGGATCTAAGACCAAAGGCAATGAAAAAAAAATGCTAGAATCTTTCCCAAAGAAATCAGAATTAAAGGAAGATTCCTTTTTTTCATGCTGTTATTTGACTTATTTCTAGAACCGCAAGCAATAAGACAATATTACTGTAATAAGACAAGAGAAGTAAATTAAATGCATAAAGAGAGGCAAAGAGGAGATAATTCTTATTTGATGAGAATATGAAGATTTACTTGGAAAAGTCCAAGGGAATCAGCAAAGAAACTAATTAAGATAATTAACAGATTCAGCAAAATTACAGGCTACAAAATCGTCAAAACTCAACAGAAATTCTATATAGTAGCTAGGTGGCTCAATGGATAGAGCATCAAACTTGGAATCAGGAAGTCTTGGGCTCAAATCCAGACACATTCTAACTATGATCCTGAGCAAGCCACACAACTTCTCTGTGCCTCTCAATGCTCTCCTCTGTAAAATGAAGATAATAAAAGCACCTACTTCCCAGGGTTGTTGTGAAGACAAAAATGAGATCATTTTTGTGAAGCACTTTGCAAACCTTAAAGCTATCTATATAAATGGTAGCCATATAGCAATAACAAAACCCAAGAGACCATAAAAGAGAGGCTTTATTCAAAATAACTATAAAATATTAGAGTCCATTAACCAAAGCTCACTCAACACCTGTGCAAAGAACAGTTTAAATAACTGAAAGGATAGTCAATATTCATGGCTGGGCCATTCCAATAGAACAAAAAATTATGACAATAATGCCTAAATTTATTTACAGAATGAGTGTTATAACAATCAAAATACCAAGGGGATACACTTTTCAAAGCTAGACATATAAATAACAAAATATATTTGGAAGAAAGAAGGTATACAGTATCAAGGTAAATGATGAAAACCAAAAGAGATGATTACAAAAGATAAAGTAGATAATTTTAATTATATGAAATTGAAAAGCTTTTGTATGAATAAATACAACTAGGGCACCAAGGAAAGTCATTGATTGGGGGGGAAACTATGTGTAAAATATTTCTGACAGGGATCTAACAAGCAAGAAATATAGACAACTAACAGAAACATATACAACTAAAATCTATACCCTAATAGTAACTGGGCAAAAGATATGAACAAAAAGTTCTCAAAAGAATTGCAAACCACCACATGAAAGAATACCTTAATAGACTACTAGGAGAAATGTAAATCAAAACAACCCTGAGGTTTCATCTCACACCCAGAAAATTGGCAAAGATGGAATAGTAAATGCTGGAGGAGCTGTGAAAAGACCAATATACTAATGCACTGCTTGTAGAGAAATGACTTGGTCTTACGATTCTGGAAGTCAATTTGAAATTATGCAAAAAAAAAAAGTGACTAAAATGTTTGTATTATTTGACCCAGAATTTCTACTGCCCAAGCACATATCCCACAAGAGGTCAGTGAAAAAAAGAAAGAACCCAAATACACCAAAATAATTTATAAGTATTACGACACTTTTCCCAGTAGCAACAAACTAAAAGCAAAGTAGATATGCACCGGCTGAACAAAATGTGGTGCACGCATGTAAATGGAATATTACTATGATAAAAGAAACAATGACTATGATGAATATGGAGAAACATGAAAAGACTTACATGAATTAAGGCAAAGTTAGGTTAAAAGAATCAGGAAAACATACATAATGGCTACAGCAACGGGAAAAAAATCAAAACTGAATATGGTGAAATTACAATCAACAAGCTTGAACACAGGGAAGAGATAGGAAAAAGTACTTCTACCTCTTTGCAAAGATGGGGAACTACAGTTGTGGAAAATTGTGTATAACATCAGACTTTTCAATATGCTCACTGGTTTTGCATAACTTTTTTTGGCCTTTTAAAAAAATTATTATAAATGGTGGCCTTCAAGGCAGGGGGGAGGGGGAGAGAGAAGAGGGAGGAACATAAGTAATGTAAAAACCGAAAACAGGGACCTGTGGTTTCACTGGTACAGGGAGATAGAGAAGGAAAGAAAGAAGGAAGTTCTACCAATGGAGACACCAATACAGTTCCAAGTTGGCAATTTCTCTGCAATTTTATAGTCTTAGAGTGTTGCCAGCTTAAGTGACTTTCCCACAGGAACACAGCCAGTACATGTTAGAGGTAAAACAAATGGTATTCATCTTTTGCTTATCAAAAACAAAAGAGAGTAATAAATATTTTATACACACATATGCATATATATACAGAATTTTCATTATAAAAATGGCAAACTCAAATGATACCTTCAAAGTTTTATAGTAAATGGTCCTGTTGATTTCCAGTGGAAAAAGATTTTGTTCCTTTCCTGATCTGGCCCAGTTCACATACCGAAGCCAATTCCCCTTCTTCGGATCAGTGGCATCAACACACATCCATCCCAAGTTCGGATAATATACCTTAAAAAAAAATTATTAATATTGTTGGTGCTGTTGCTATTGTTATTACATACGAAGCATTTCATAACTTACACACATAATTCTTTATGGTACATAGAGCACTTCATTCACAATCCTGTGAGGCAGGTAATATAAATGACCACCCAAGTCAACAGGAGTTGCCTCTGTCATCTAGAACAGTGGTTTCTAATGTGGTGACCAACATAGTTATTTCAAAGTGTGTCTAAGTCCAGGTGCACAATAAGCCCTGTTATTTTGAGTTTTACTTACCTCCAACAAAATGGGCAATATGATGGAGATTACATATATATAAAACAAGCTTATTACTATTTCTCAAAAGGACCTAAACCCCATGACTGATAGAGATTATTTTTTTCCGCATAAATGATTTAAAGTCATATTTTCTCAATTAATAGATGCTGAGAATACAAATACTATCATATGAGTTTCTGAAATATCAAAATTTCATTGAAGGAACAAAAAATATAGAATCAAAGAAAATAATGGGAAAATAAAGGAAAAGGGAATAGCACTTCCAGACTGCAAACAATAGTATAAAGAAGCAGTCATGAAAATAATTTAATATTAAAAAAAATGCATCAATAGAATGGCCGTGACAAAGAGAGAATCAGAAATAATGGAACTCAATATCCCAATGTTTGATAAACCTGAAAACATAGGAAAAAATTCCCTATTTGATGAGAACTGCTGGAAAAACTGGAAAGCAGTCTAGCAGAAATCAGGCTTAGAAGCCTACTCTACAAATATTAAATAATAAATTCAAACTGATAAGCAACCTGAACTTTAAAGTTCATACCATTAAGAATCATAAGAGAAGCAGATCATATACCTTTCATAACTTTGCAGAAATGTACCCTTAAATAAATAAGAGATAGAACCAATTTCAAAAAATAAAATAGATAATTTTATAATATGAAATAAAAACACTTCAATAAAAGCCAGTGCATCTAGTTAAGAAGCAGTAAAATGGGCAAGACTAGCAGCCATATTTAATACCACAAGTCATTCTTCAATAGATAAGTGAGCAGAGGATATAACCAAATTTCTTCAAAAAAAGAACTGTGAACTATTAATAACCATATGAAAGAATGATCCAAATCACAAATATTAAGAAAAATGCAAACCAAAACAATCCAGAGGTTTCACCTCATCCAGCAAATAGACAAAGATTACAACAGATGGAAAAGTCAGTGTTGGGAGAGGGACAGAAAAAGGGTTATGGAGATAAGACTAATGCATTGTTGACAGATATGAATTAGTACAATCATTTTGGAAAGCAATTTGGAATTATGTGAAAGCGACTAAAATGCCCAGAGATTCCACTTCTAGGCATATACCACACGGAGGCCATTGAAAAGTTCCCATACATACCAAATTTTTACAGAAGCATGATATGTGGCTACAAAGAACTGACAAAGTAGATGCCAATTGACTGGGTAATAGCTAGACATATTGTGCACTGGAATATACTGGAATATCACTGTGCTATATGAAACAATGAAAATTATGAATTATGAATCTGAATATAGAGAAGCATGACAAGACTTATGTAATCTGCTACAGTAAAGTAGATAAACCAAAGAAGAGCTCTGAGAAGACACATTCCTCATTTTCCCTGCAGAGCTGGGTATTTCCATGGATGTGAAACCTTTCGAATATAATCAGATTTTTTCGATGTATTGATCAGTGACTGCTTTTCATCTCTTTTTCCCCTTTTTCTTTAAAACAATTCTTGGTTATATTACGGATATCTCTTTAGTAGGGGTAACAGAGAGGGATAAGGGGGAAATTTGGGCAATGTAAAAACATATCAATTAAAATTTTTAAAGGAGAGTTTCTTATATTCAAAAATGTTGGGGATCACTTGTCTTAGACATATTTTCTTAGTTACATTATCTTACAGGTAGGCACTTTCTATCTTCTGAACTAAGCTGTAAAATCCTTGGGAGCCAAATTCTTTATAGAGTGCTCATACAAGTCCTTCTATAAGCATTTCTTAAGTGCGCTTTTTTTTTTTGCTTTTTGGTGAGGCAATAGGGATTTGCCCAGGTTCACACAGCTAGTAAGTGTCAAGTGGCTGAGGCCAGATTTGAACTCACATCCTACTCCAAGGCCAGAGCTCTATCCACTGTGCCACCTTAAGTGCTTACTTAAGTGCTTACTTTTGCCTGACACTATTCGAGGCACTGGCAATACAAAGAAAGGGAAAAACAACCCCTGCTTTCAACATGTAAATAATTACATATATAAAAGATACATACAGAGCAGATGGAAGGTGAACTCAAAGGGGAAGGCACTAGAAGCTGGGGGATCAGCAAACAAGTATCTACTAATTGATTCGTTGATAAATTTAACAACAGGACATTAGAAATGGCCACGTGGCTTCCTGTTCTCAATTATAGGAAGCAATATAGACAATTTCAGAGTATCCTCTCTTTGCCTTACTAGTTAAGAAAATCCAAAGATACCAAAAGCTAATACACAGACTAAATACGCAGGGTTTTTTTCTCCCTCATTTCTCAGCCTATTTAATTCTTAAATTCTGATGGTAAGCACAGACAAACAAATGTGTCTTCGACTCATCATTTTCATTATCTAAGAAAAACTCCAATTCATATTGTGTTGACAGATCCGAGTGGGAGATTTCTCCTTAACTGCGAGAGAATAATGTGTTACACGCAGCACCCGTGACCTACAATGATTCTTTAAAAAAAAAAAAAATGAGGGGGGGAAGAAGGAGAGAAAATAAAGAGCTTTTTCTGCGAGCTGAAGACATTATACTTTCAGTTTGAAAAGCAAAAGAGAAGCAGATACAGGTATATAAATATCAATATGGCAGAGATAATTCTAAAAAATCTTGCAGATATTTTGTAAATTAAATATTTTTAATATCTTGGGTTAATTTGCTATTTACAGGAATCCTTCTGCACAGCTGTATTTTTAATGATGTCATGAGTTACCATGTCCAAAGAATTCATTCAAATAAGCCAGCATGCTAGATGAGCCTGAGATCTGAATATAAAAAGTCCAATAAAGAAAAAAAATTACACTGCTGAGTATCAAAATATAATTCTAACTGTTCTTATAATGAGTTTGTTAAAAGCAAGGTACAGCTTTAATTGCAGAATTTGCCTAGTGTCCCTTTTTTCCACATCTCTAAATATGCCACCTATATATAAGAGGAAAAGAATACAAGTAAAATATCAATTTTTACATAAAAAGAAATCTCAAGCTGAGAGACTTAATTGAATTGAGGCAGTGTAGTATTATGGAAAGAGTACTGGGGGCAGCCAGGTGGCGCAGTGCATAGAGCACTGGCCCTGGAGTCAGGAGGACCTGAGTTCAAATCCAGCCTCAGACACATGATACTCACTAGCTATGTGACCCTGGGCAAGTCACTTAACCCCAATTGCCTCACACACACACACACACACAAAAGTATTGAACTAAGAGACAAGAGAGACCTAGATTTGAACTCTACTTCTTATTTACAAGCGCTAGGAACATGGACAAGTCCCTTAACATTTCTCAGCATTAGTTATCTACAAATGTTGTTTCTGTGGAAGACAGCAATGGAGTCAGGGACACATGCTGCTCAATACCACTGTGACGCTGGGCAATTCACTTCATCTTTTCCAATCTGGATTCTCCTCACTACAGAATGAGATTGGATGACCTCTGGCATCTTTCTTTTCCCCTCAACTTAAATATGAAATCTTTTATATCCCACATTCTCTCACATGATGCTCCCCAATGCCATCCTTACGTCACAGGATCAGCCACCAATCATCAACAAGCATTTATGCCCATGATAGGACATTAAGCACAATTCAAGATGATAGGACTCACTACAGATATTGAAGTAGCCCAGTATTTACCTTCACGAAGCTTGCAACCTACTGGCAAGATAGAACATGTACATAGTTAAATGTAAGATGTAGACAAAATGAATACAAATTACTGGGGAAGAGGGAAAGCAGGGAGTATGGAAGAATTATTAGAGCAATCAGGAAAAGCTCCTTGAAGATGGTGACAATACCACTGGGTCTTGAAAGAACTAGAAGTTCCAAAAGGCCAAGGTGTACAGGAAGAGTATTACAGGAGATGGAATGCCATGCACAGGAAACAGCAAGTTGACCCGCTGGCCAGAGAACAGACTGTGTGAGAGTAAATAACATACAATCAACAAAAAAAGGCAGGAGAGAGCCAGACTATAAAGAGCGACAAAAGCCAGATAGATACACAATTTGTTGCTCAAAAAACTTTTTTTTTGCTAAGATCTTTAATATTTGGGTCACATATCCATTTGGAATTTATTATGGAATATGACATAGAATGTTGGCCTAAACCTAATTTCTGCCAAACTTTTCCAGCTTTCCCAGGTGTGCTCATAAAATAAGTCATTTATGTTTTCAGGTTTAATGAACAATGGATTATTGACGGGCAGGAAATAGGTACTTCCTACTTGACAGTAGGAAATGCACTTTGCTTTTAAAACCAAACAAGGTTGTTCGTATTTTATCCTAGCAAAAATAAGGAGCTAGTGACACGTCTTGAACAGGGAAGCAATACAGTCAAACCTGTGCTTTAAGAAAATCCATTTAGCAGCTAGGTAAGAGAACAGAATGAAGAGAGACTAGAAACAAGGAGCTTCACTCTCAAATTACTTTGAATTTAACTACTTTGTATATATTTGCATTTGTATTTATTTACTTAATACTTATATCTCCCTCATTAGAATGCAAGTTCCTAGTATGTACATAAGAATTGTTTCATTCTTTATACGTGCATCTCCAGCGCCTGCAATTATTAAAGTATGTAGATTTGGGAGTCTTCTACATATAGATGATAGGTGAATCCCACATAGAATTAGAGTGTAGACTAAAAGTCCAGGCAACTAGGTTATGGAGTGGATAAAGTACCGGACTTAGCGTTTGGAAGATCTGAGTCCAAATCTTGCCTCAGATATTTAGTACGTA